CGAGGGGCGTGTTATCGTTAGTTCAACCGCGCACACTGAACTCACCAAAATTATCACGCATGAACAGGCGGACACGCCCACCCTGGAGTGACGTTCGAATCGCCCGACAAACCAATCACATCACTCAAGAGTGAACATCTGTTCACGCCTGTTCAGACTTGATAACCCAGCATGCGCTGGTGAATTAGTGGCAATACGGCCGCCTCGTATGTCTGGAGTACGAATCCCGGCACAGCTAAGGAAATACACCGCTGAGGAGCTCTGGCGAGCGCGAAATTCGAGTACATTGCCTCTTTGGTACAGACTCACCAGAATAAATGCATCTGGACAGGACGAAGACTGTCCAAACGGGGAGTGATGTGAATCTAAACTCTACAAATCCCACGGCCACCTAGAACTGGTAAAATCCTCATTTATTCCCACTTTCTTGCCGACGTTTTGCTACTCCAGACCGAGTAACTGCAACAGCACTCGCCCACTGTCACGACTATGAGTGCAAGTCTGCACTTCCACACAGCGGGTTACCATATTAGATTCAGCTGTTAGATTTTCGTTCTCCGACCCGTTAGTCTATAACGCAATCGCTTGATCATTGCTGGAGGCTACTCATACGTTCAGTGATTTGGATAACGGTCATCCCTCTAGAATAGTCTATATCGTTTTTTTAAACCAACAGATTAGGAGTGATCAATCAGGCAACGTATTCCACCAAATAACCATAAGATCACCCCATATCTAGCCTCAATCTAGAGGAGAAAGCATCAGCTATGCTAGCAACAAAGAATCGAGAGCTTTTGGCCAAGTTAAAGCTGGAAGAGCATATTTGGCATAATTGACGGGGCAGAAGAGTTCCTTAGCATAAATGTTGGTTTTGAGGTCTACGGCAACCAGCCTGTCAAGGTACGCCACACAAACTAACCTTATCCCAAAAGTAGCAGCACTGCTAAGATAGATCATAAGTCCAAACGACAACAGTTCAGCACTAAGAAGTGTTTGCGGCAAACATAGTAAGCGCTCTGATTGTGATCCTTTTGAAATAGATCATAAGTCCAAACGACAACAGTTCAGCACTAAGAAGTGTTTGCGGCAAACATAGTAAGCGCTCTGATTGTGATCCTTTTGAAATAGATCATAAGTCCAAACGACAACAGTTCAGCACTAAGAAGTGTTTGCGGCAAACATAGTAAGCGCTCTGATTGTGATCCTTTTGAATTTTACCAGCGGCATTGCCTAGGCCAATGTTCCAGCCATCATAACAAAACTTCAGTTCCTACTTTATCCGGCAACCTGGCTGCCAGGGCCAGTCGTATGATACCGTCCAACAGCGCCTTCCCATTTAGATCCCTTTGACCATTTTTATGAAACAGAAATTTCTATCCTCTTCCCGTTATGAGGTTAGATACTGAGAGATCACTTCCTGTGGCTCAATAAAAGCGCATAATCTACATACTTAATTGAACTTAAATAAACCTACTTGGTTACAGTAACTGTATGGCGGGCGATGACACTGATGCCCTATCCATGACGAGGAGCCTAAGACAAATCAATATTTGTAAAGCCACTGGGGTGAGGTCTAAAAGCTGTAGCGAGGGACTACTAGTTAGCTCCGTACCACTCACCGATGGTCTGAAATACTGGTCACGAGCAACCTGATCTTCGGCTCTCAGAATCATCCGACTGTCCCACTTCAGACAGTACTGAAAAAGGGTTCATCATCCTCACGACCATCAATCAGGTGATGACACAAGCGACTAAGCAACCAGAGCGGTCAACTTTGTCTACCAAAGTAAAAAGGCACAAACGTATGACTAGATGGTCTGTGGAATCCGGATAAATGATATCCCGGGATTCACAGGTCACACAATCGCCCAGTAATTAGCCCACTAGGATATCTTCTGATAGGCGACGTACGTTGGTTAACATACCTGCGAGCATCAAGGATTAGTTAATTGCCTGAATGTGGTAAGTGACCACACCAGACTAGTTCAATTATGGTTGGAAAAGTTGCAAATTATTCCACCCTCAACTTGGAGGACCGAGTGATAGTGTTTATCATTCCCCTTTTTGTTGAAAGGTCCGGTTGGATGCTGCTTCGTCATCTCTTTGTACAGTTCAGTAAGCCACTGAGGTATGCTGGGGTATGATATGGTCCAATTTCCTGCGATGGTCCTATTGCAAGCAAAGTTGCTAAGATGATCCTTCAGTTGAGGGCCGCACTTGACTGTCCAGGAAAAACTTATAGTAGGCTGGATCCTCCAACATTAACAGTTTCCGATAAGGAGAATGACAGAAAATAGCTGAACCCGCATACCTGTCCACAGAGGTAAGCATGTTACCTATTGCCCAACGCAAGTCATGCAAGCAACAACAGCACTGACAAAGGAGAATCTCTGAACGTCTGAATGGGGTGCTGAACAAAACATGTGCCGGGCCAAAATATCTATTTCCATCCGAAATGCGGCGAATCGCCGGTCAAGAAAACTACAGGTATGCAGTTTGAGGTTGTGAAGAGTGACGAGTTAGAACGAATAACGAAATAAACGGGTTTCGATCCTAATTAGAAGTGTATTCCATGCGTCACATGGTGTTTACAAAAACATTTTTGTCTAATTTCAGTCCACTGGAATTTTTTATTCACATTTTCCGGTCACCAATCCATTACTATAAACTGCTATAAATGACGAGTTACTCAGTTTACAAGAGATAAGCACGTTAGCAAGCAAAGGACAGCATTCAAAGTAGTCTTTCTGGTACATACATGAGTGATCGACCGATAAGATTATATTAGGGAGGGGGCAGCGGGACCCCGTAGGAACCACAACTGTACACGACTAATATGTTTATCCACGGGCCCAAACGGCAGCGTACAACAGTACGCGATTAAAAAACCCCATATGGACGTAGAGCGTGCATGTGTTGTGAGCGTGCGTAAGCGCCTGGCATAACCGGCACAGCGATAAACGTGCGCACACACACACACTGTCTGATGTAGCAGCTAAATTCTGCGGCTAAGGCACACAGGTAAACACCTATGGGTACGCATCCAGATGGCGTGCAAACGAATGTGTGCATGCACAGCCATGCATCAGCCTACATGATGCCGTTGCTAGGCAATCGATTCTCTGAGATAGTCTAATTTTGTACATGACCATGAATGAGGGAGCAATACGGTCCCGTCTGATGTGACGACTTCGCAATGTGATCGGAAAGAACAATTCGGATGCAGATCAACAACACAGATCTGCATCGAGAAGAGGACACCATTTTATTACGAGGAGCTAACGGATGATAACGATCGCGTGCTTTTAGAGGGATTTAGTTGGTGATTGGGAAGAATACTGAAAAGGACAGGTAGAGCGCTGCAGCTTGAAATTAACGACAGCTACATTTCCCATATATTCGCCCGTAATTTTCCAAGAAAACCCGAAAAATCCGCAGTTCCAGAAGCACTTTTTTACGAGGGCGAATAAAAATCATGCAAACCCGAAACACCTGTGGCGGATGCGTTGGTGACACTATCTGCGAAATGGGGTCGGCTTCATTTCGTTTTACTGAGGTTGGAAGGATAACTGTTGGGCGCAAAAAGTCAAACCGAAAAAACTACAGCTGAATCCGTGGCTGTTAACAATTCAGTCCTACGCTTTCATCATCCGGCCTAAACAGAGGAATCTGATGTACATGGTGTCCACAAATGAACTACTGAGCAAAACGTCGACTGTGGACCACTCAACCTACAGAGCTATGCACCCTCAGTACTTTTTATTGTGCCGCTATCAGTGGAGCAGCAATCAACATGGTACTGTTATCGACCGCCTTTCCTCATAACGCAAATAGCCTAATGTAGATCATTACAAGGACCACACCCTTGTAGAATAGTACTGCCAAAGTATCAGTAGGCTCTGATCGCTCCAGTATGGACCACGCACATAATGGTCAGACTCCGCGCAAGAAACCGTAACTTTGAGTCCTACGAATGATGGATGAGACAGCCGTTGGATTATCACCAACGGGGAATAGGTGTGCGAGAAACCATTGATCGGGTGTTGAGTGGAACACAACAATTTTCTCCAACATAGATTAGGGCTCGAAATTATTAAGGTGTTAGCGAACAAGCTACCAACCGATTTGATCACAGCTGGGATTTCCCAATCGCTTCTTAGCATCCCTAAGTGTCACTTGGACGACATAGTAGGCGTGCAATATAAATATGCTAGCAATGGGTGGAAAGAGAGCAATCAAAGTGGAAAGTGCCAAGAGAAAAATATGCTACTACCTGCATGCAAATCAACTGGGGGATAAATTATGTAGGTTAGTAGTAACTAGGAGACAGACATATGCAAGTGAGAACCTGGTTGGACCATTTAATAAAACATGATAAGCAGAGTACCTGGTTCACGATGGAAGCCATCATATTCGAACCGGCAATAGCTACGAAATAAGCACCATGACAATGATTCCCTACACAGAGCCGCTTTCATAGCTCCTCTGTCACAGACTAAAGGAATGCGATGCGCATGAACCTGAAAACAGTGACCAGCATAGAGATTACAGTGATCACACTATGAGTCCATTTCTGAACTGTATGTTTCTTGATCAAGGCACGTCGATACAGAACTGGACATTATGTTGAAAAACGTCCAACTTTCTCCTAAGAACCATGAATCCCTATCGGGTTTCCATCACTCATATTTACTGGAGAGAATCTCGCGTATTTCCAGTCCCTATGTGGATCGCAGGCTACAAGCAGCGTTCCACTTGTCCATTGTTTATTAACCGCAGCGCGTTCTAGATGAACTTAGGGAGACACACTGTGCTTTTAGGCCTTACTATGATAGCTCAAACGCGATGTTGTTGTGCATGATTGGTCGTCACAATAGGATAAAACACTATCCACTAAATGGTGGCCACAGATTGTATGATAACTAACGAACCTACAGCCGTTGCCGTAGATTCAAAGGTACGGTCGTTTACACGCACGATAGAACAAAAGAGTGACTCACTGGAGAAAAGGAATCCCCTGAGAGTGGTGGCTCCGGTGAGGTAGAATTTCGCGACACCGAGCCAGGTAACCGGGAATCTAGAGCACCGGAGTCCAGTTGGTTTGACAAAACCCTGGCTGAGTCAGTATTGAGTATGCCATTTTTCGGCTCTGGTGGTTGTCTGGATGGGGACTGTGAAGGAGATGGGTGAGTATATCGAAGAGGAGGCAACAACACCGGTTTAGGAAGACCCGTTCGAGTGGGAACTGGTATCCGAGATGCCTTGGACGTAGATCGGTCGCTTAAGCGAGAAATCGGTGGTAAGGGTAATGAAGATAAACCCTCCACTGGTGCAGATCTACGGGAGATGACAGGAGCACAACTAGGAATGGGACTGATGTGAGAGACGTTGGTGCTTGGACCGGAAGCAGAGATGATGACTGAGTTCGCAACCACTGGGATATGCTTCTGGGAATTACCGTTTATCAACGGTGATGGGGTATGAACCATCCTATCAGACTGTCGAGAACCTGCAGCAGAACAATCGGATGCAGCGTCGAGCGTACCCGATAACGAAGAAGACAGTGAGGAGGAAGATGAAGTGCTGTCATCCATGAATTTCAAATCATTCGAGCCAACCACATCCACAGACGAAATAGAACACGTATCAGGTTGGTCATTCGCGATGTGATTCGTGTGAAGTTGATGGTCATTGGGCGAAAAACCCTGTGTAGTGGTGGTGAGAATCCCGCGCTTCGCCAACTGTCCGGGAGTAATCCTGTTCTCCAGCGATCCTGCGACACTGGCATTCATTCTGTACCGAAAGCAAAACAGAAAGTCCGTGAACAAAATCCAACACCAGGCATCAAAAATTTGACGGCACAATAACCCCCACAACACACGGAAACAGCACGCGAAGTATTCCTCACGACAAAATCGTTTTCTGGTAATATTTCCCCACCTACTTAAGTGAACGAAAGTGCAGGTGATCTACAGAGCGACTGAGAACGCAGGATAACCCAAGGGAGAGTACCTGTCGGAATATAATCCGGATATGAATAGGGATACAGTTAAAAAAACAGACTCTGAAGCCAATTGGATAGTACACGAAACAAACCAACCAAGGTAAGAAAAAAGATGAAGTGCGCGTAACAAAGATTAAGAACCCTCCTAATCACAGTCCTATCAAGAAACGTTGTAAAAACGTGTTTCCACTGGTTTATGCCAAAGATAGCTCAGCGTTAGAGCACAAATTTATTGACCAGAAGGTCCGTGGTTCGAACCCGGCCTCTGCGTCTCGAATTCTCCTGTCTAGGTTTGGGCGACCTGGCAGTATCCCAGCCCTCATGCTTCCTTCGGGTAGCATGGCAGCTAGGCACAGAAAGGGCGTTACAGCTGAACGCCAGCTTCAGCACGCTTTGAAAAAATGTCTGGGTGATACCTCAAACAGTGTCACTTCAACTGCGTCTGATAATAACAATGATAATAACAAATGATCATTCAGTCGTAATGTCGTTTCGGTGCCTAGCTGCCATTCCACCCAAAGGAAGCAGGAGGGCTGGGATATTGCCAGATTACTCAAGCCTTAAAAGGAGAAGTCGAGAAGTCGGGTTCGTACCACAGACCTTCCAGTCAGTAAAGTCGGGCTCTAGCCACTGAGCCATATGACAGAACGCTGTCCCTCAGAAAACGCAGAGGTCCTGGAGATGGGGAAGGCTTTGGATTTCCCACATTATCTCAGCTGGCCAAAAGTACACAGGTATCGGTGGTGCTTTTTGTGAAAAATTTATTTGCAGGGCGATTGGCTAACCACTTTGAAGAAACCTGACCCTTAACAGTCTCTGGGAGGTTAGGCAGCTTGGTGATTTGTATCACGATAGTCCCCAGATATCGATTACCTGGGCACCGGGTCAGACCAGTAAAAACCAAATGATGTCAGAAAAAACACCTTTGTTCTGCCTTCACCAGTTTGATCGATATATGTGAATTCAACCGAACCCAACTACCCAGTTTTGACTCAGTCTTTATAGAGAAAACATTAGAAAGTAATGAAATGAATCGAAGTGTGGACAGGCTTCGGAACACCTACTCTGGTCGGTCGAATAACAGGGACCTATCGAATAGATCACAGTCATCAGACAACGAGGTTTTCGATCAAACCACTCACGGTAAAGATCGGCTCACAGAAAAAAAGATGTCTACTGACTTCCGCGCCCGTGTACGCAGTGAAAAGGTGGTCAAGGAGGTCCTTTCTCCAGACACTACATAAACGGTCGTATGTGAAAACCGGTTGTATGCTTAAATAAACATCTAACAATTTGAATGGTTTGGTATTGTCACCGGACTGGTTGAATGTACAGCTGTCCAGACCCAGGCTATCCGCCGATAGGGACGTCGATACATAGCTGATTTCGAGGTGATCGCCAACCGCAGTTGCTGTGGCCTCCTTAGAAAAGATAGGACTCGTTTTACGACTTTGCGAGTTAAATGTGCAGGTTACAGAGACGGCAATGCCATCATCAATGAAACGCACGGGCTTCAATAACGGGCAGAACAGACAGTTTTATAAGTAGTCCCTGATACGTAAGTGCGCAGGAAGTATAGTTGACGGAACTGTGTTGGACAGACGTAATGTTATAATTCAAGCCGGTTCTATCAAGCTGATCTTGACAAGCGATCTTGACACTCAAGAACTTAAAGAAGACAGTCCAATGAATATACCTGCAGGCGAAAGTCATGCTAACGGGCAAGTGCTTGATAGTAAACGAGAACCAAACTTCAAACCAGACCACAGGAAACATAGCTGAACCGAATCGAAAGGGTCTAGCTACTGAAGCCTCAAGGTTTCTGCGATAAGCAAGAAACAAAGCCCAGGGGACCGTAAGCATCACCAGGCCTTTCAACCCGAAAGACCAATGTTACGTTTAGGTTCTGTATTCACTGTCTACAACGAAACAATAGGACAAACTCAAGGAATAAATGAAAGCGGGAGAGTAGATAGCGAATATACGGGCTTTGGGCGAGCATCAAAACTGCTTGCTGGTGACTGAGTAAGATGTCCTCACGGAGCGAAAACCGTTAACCTGGTCTCTGGCTACGAAACGCATACGGAGACGGTTGACACATTTGGTGCATTAAATTCAGGGGTACAGTTTCAATATCATATATCTTGACGGCAGGAGCGAAAAACTAGATGCCTCATAACAGGTGTAGGTAGTACCCGCAAAGCAACTCAAATTAACAAGCACACTTTGGTGAACAGCATGAAGAAAACTTGGTTTGGCGGAACAAGGACGCTCGTAGCGGGGAGCCAATCTTGAAGACACTTCCGGTGCAGCGAACGAACTCATGGAAATAAGGAACTGGTGGCATATAGCGGATAGTATGCTGACACAGGATTTGCGTATGGTTTGCATCACCGTCAGCCAACGTACGCTCCTGCAGCAACGGAGAAGCGTTTGACGAAGCACGTGTGAACAAAAAAAAACAGACATTCTGCGGGCGGTGCAAAATGAGATGAAAAATTATCATGATTCCAAATGACCAAATGACTTGTCAGCCACATTCCATCCCCAGGCAATATGGATGAAGGGTCCACTACTCACGCGGAAAGCTCATTTTTGATCCTATACCAATGTGCGCGTAAGGAAATTGATATATCATTACCAAGAGCAGTCGCGGCACATGATGAATATAAGGACTACAAAAATCCAACCAAATGAACGAAATGGCAGCAAGTGTTTTCCGTGAGTGCAAGGAGATACTATTCAGCATCCTGGATAGAGCAACAACTGGTCAAGCCCTGGCCACCGATGCGTCTGGGGTACTCTTGCAATCCATACATCCACATTTTACCCCAAGCCAACGGAATGGGTGAATGATTTGATCGTATTATGAAAAAACGTGTTCGAAATGAATGGAAAAAATACAGCGGAATAGTGATAATTGCCTTCTAACTGCAGAACAATCTCATTTGGACTAATGTCTGATCAGGAACTTACATTGTTTTAGGATACAGGTCCGGCGAGAAAAGAAAAAATGGTAAGCTAAAAAGCTGAAAACGCAGACATCTTGAAACAGAGGAAGCAACCCTCGATTCCCACTACCCTAACTTACGTATAAATTCCGTATAAACGCGACATCGCTCTCTGAGACATCATTATCATAGGAATTTTTCTGTACCGCGGGGAGTAGCAATGTTACTTTACTCCTCTAGAATGTATACGGCATGGAAAGCGAGCATAAGATGCTTTGTTAGATATATTAAGCAGTTTTTCGACTGGACTGGCGAGTTACCTTGTACACCTGTAAAAATTCCCCATGAGTGATCCTTTAACGAGACTCATGATTGCTGAGTAAATCAGTATTGTGGATCCATTGAAGATGCCTCAAAGCGAAAATAAACTGTTTTCTGGTTGCTTGTGACGATGCCTGGGTCATTCGGCAAACGGCGACCAAGCGATGTATTGAAAACGATCAAAACCAGGGCCCAAGTGTATTTTAATTAGTATCCAACCCAAAGACCTCCCTGATCAGTAACGCAGTCAATCACTCAGGTCCAAATAAACCCTACCCAGTAATACCGCTCTACAGCGACCACTGGCAGTTACTCCAGAGAAGTGGACGCCGTTGAGTAACTTTAGGAGAGAATGCTAAGGAGTTTTAGTGCACAACAAATCAGATCAGATTAATCTTTTACTAGTCAACAGCTTGGATTTCTCATTCGATATTCATCTTGGAAGCGACATGAGTCAGTTCAAACTGAACATGTAGTGGGCTTTCCAAAACACTAACTGAAAAGGTGGTGAGACAGCACATGGTATTTCAGGCCAATTTCAGCTCAATTGTTTACAACTGATAATATCGGTCATTCGCATTCCATAACTATCATTCGGTAATACCACCGTCGTAATAAAGCATGCTTGGGATGACCGGAAAACCTCGAAGAAAGCGGCCACAAACAAGGGTTCAACGAACCACAGTATGAACCGAAGTGATCAAAGACATCACACGATCAAGAAATTCAGACTCCATAAATTTCGCTGTGCTAATATCCAATCCACGAGTGGATCAAGATACTTAAAACAGAGTATGTCCTAGACTCTGATACCAAAGTTGAATGTGAGTAAAAAAAATGTGTGATTATGATGCGTCGAGGAAGAAATTATCCGGGGGGGACATGCGACTGGAAGCGATACGTTATTTAAAATAAGCGTACAAGTAAAAAATAGAGAAGCCCCCCTCCGACTGATTCCGTTTAACTGACGGTGTCTGAGCAAATAGTAATGAAAAACATTCCTGTACAACCAAACTCCTCAAGAGACAATACGGTAGCAAGGTTGTTTGTTTGCAATCCTGCATCGCCTAAGACCACTGCCACCACTCAGAACCCAAGCGGAGACAATTTCCGGTTCTCAAAAAGGCTGATACACTCCGCAAGTGGCTTGTCGTAAACTCAGTTACAGCAATCGGTTACAACCCGATCGTCGCTTTGAAAAACTGGTGTAACCAATGCTGACAAAACTCCATATCAACAAGCGATTTTTGAAGAGGTCGATTATTATGTATCGCGCAGGCACACCACCATTCACTGATGGAGGTGAACAGTAGTAGTAAATAGCAGTCGTTCAGCTGTAGCAACCTTTCGCTGCCTAGCTGCCATGCCACGAGGACTGAAACACTGCCAGTTTGCCCAAGCAGTTATTTCGCGCACTAACCACTATAGCCATCAGCTCCACAATGCAACGGTGCCGAAAAGTAGAAAAAAACTGCTGAGGATTATTCACTGACGAAGTTCCGATTTATCACATTTGTTCTCGCCGCATCATCATTATCGAAAGCACGACATCCGTGTTCAACACCGATGCTTTACTGCCGTACCACCATGATTTATTTGAAAGTCTTATTGTGAAGAAAATAATAAAGGTGAACGGGAAAGGGACTTAGTGCAAGCTCACTACAATCATTCCGAGATGCCTACACCTCCGAACACTCATTCAGGCAAGCTGGATAGAAACTGACTGCAAGATTGCCACTGACATCGGTTGGCAGCCATATCTTGCAGCGTCTCCAACCAGATGCAGGGAGGATCACGCGGTCCCCATCCTGAAAGGCGAGTAGCACCGACAGTACCCAAACGTTTCGTGATTTCTTTCATACCCCTTTGCCAGGAAAAAAGAAAAAAGCGTTCAGCTGTAGCACCCTTCCGGTGCCTAGCTGCCATGCCACCCGAAGGAAGCACGAGGGCTGCCAGGTTGCCCAAGCCTAGACAGGGCCTCTGCCAGGTCAAGGATTGGCCAATTATCTGCTTTCACCACTCTGAATTATGCATGGAAAACAGCACTATCTTTAGCGACTAATGGTTGGGCGTACGCAATACATGTCCCAACCAACGCAGCTTCTGGTGCTGGACACATTCTTCAATGGAAATACCCTTTGCACAACCGAAAACTCGCTTTCTAATTGCCTCGTTACGGATTCGCCGACACAACCCACGCGAGCCATGGCCCTGAGACAACGATTGTCGATCGAACACCTGAAGACGTCTCAGTTCCGCAGCCCGAACAGGCCAAGTCTCACAGCCACGCAACAAAATAGCTCACTGTAGCTTGATNTTCGGCATACGTAACACATGTCCCAACCAACGCAGCTTCTGGTGCTGGACACATTCTTCGATGGAAGTACCCATTACACAACCGAAAACACGCTTCCTAACTGCCTCGTTACGGATTCGCCGACACCAACCCACACGAGCTATGGTTCTGAGACAACGATTGTCGAACACCTGAAGACGTCTCAGTTCCGCTACTCGAATAGGCCAAGTCTCGCAGCCATACAACAAAACAGCCCGTACTGTAGCTTGATACACACATCCCTTCAGATTCAGGGAAACATCCTTTTGACGCCTTAGGTGTCTCAAGTTAGCAAACGCGGCCCGAGCCTTGCAGATTCGTGCATTCACCTCATCTGTCACACTACAGTCAGAACTAATGCAACTTCCAAGATATGTAAAACGCTCCACAACTTCCACAACTTCCACTCCAACTTACCAGCTCATTAATAACACACTTGCAAGATATTTGAGTTTGTTGTTATCCAGTGGTTGTCCACCACATTGTTGAGCAGGAATCACGCTAGTTCCGCAGGCTTCAAATCCAACCTCACCGAACCAGATGAGAGCAATGTCTGTATCATCTGTTCCTGTTTGATGCTTACATAAGACACTGGCTGGCTGTCATGATTTTTGTGTGCTTATTCTTAGGCTTACCA